TTCCCTTTGTCATCGGTATGTTACTTGCCCGAGATTCGATCGTCGGTATCTCAATACCTAGTTCCATCTCGTTACCAGCAAGTCTCTTTACTCGTTTCGTAATACATCATCTTGCAACTAACTCATTAGTTGTAATGCTTGCAAGGCTTATGTGATGTGCATTACCGAGAGGGCCCAGAGATACCTCTCCGACAATCGGAGTGACAAATCCTAATCTCGAAATACGCCAACCCAACATGTACCTTTGGAGACACCTGTAGAGCTCCTTTATAATCACCCAGTTACGTTGTGACGTTTGGTAGCACACAAAGTGTTCCTCCGGCAAACGGGAGTTGCATAATCTCATAGTCATAGGAACATGTATAAGTCATGAAGAAAGCAATAGCAATATATTAAATGATCGGGTGCTAAGCTAATGGAATGGGTCATGTCAATAACATCATTCTCCTAATGATGTGATCCCATTAATCAAATGACAACATATGTCTATGGTTAGGAAACATAACCATCTTCGATTAACGAGCTAGTCAAGTAGAGGCATACTAGTGACGTTTGGTTTGTCTATGTATTCACACAAGTATTATGTTTCCGGATAATACAATTCTAGCATGAATAATAAACATTTATCATGAAATAAGGAAATAAATAATAACTTTATTATTGCCTCTAGGGCATATTTCCTTCAGTACTTTCTTACGTTCATTGATTGTCATTCTAGGATGACTTGGGTCTATCTTATGAAACATAAAGATGAAGTGTTTTAGTGTTTCAAAGTCTTTTATGCACTTGTTCAGACTCAATTTAATGTGAAAATTCAAGCACTGAGATCTGACAATGACACCGAATATGTTAACAAGGCCATTGGTTCCTTCATGTCAGACAAGGGCATCCTACATCAAACATCTTGCCCGGACACACCTCCTCAGAATGGGGTGGCAGAGAGGAAAAATTGCCACCTGCTGGAGGTGGCCCGTGCATTGATGTTCACCATGAATGTGGCCAAGTTCCTGTGGAGTGAAGCTGTCATGATGGCCACCTTCTTGATCAACCGCACACCATCCCGGGTGACAGGTATGAAATCACCGTGTGAGTTGGTTTTCACAGAAAATACATTCCCAGTTCCCCCCAAGGTGTTCGGTTGCACTTGTTTTGTTCATGATCACAGGCCATCAGTCAACAAACTGGATCCTCGAGCAGTCAAGTGTATTTTTATTGGGTATTCTTCAGGACAAAGAGGGTACAAATGCTGGAGTCCGTCTGAGAGGACGACATTTGTGAGCATGGATGTTACGTTCCGTGAATCAGAACCCTTTTATGGCGAGCAAACTGACCTAAGCGTCTTGTTTGAAGAACTTGACCAATGTCTCCAACCACAAATTGGTCAAGAGGGGGAGAGCAGTGATAGTGATAATTATAATTGTGGTGATGCCGATTCAGTGTTGCAGCAACCAATCGAGGGTGATATTCCGGTACAGGGAAGCGAACAGCAGCCCTAGAAAATGATAACACCACAGAGTGAAGGACCGATTGTGACTGATGGGGTGCCAAGTCAGGCAGGTGGTGCTCCCACCCAGATCGGTTGTGTACCGAGGTGGACGGTAGAGCAAGAGGAGCAGCTAAAGGTGTATTCACGGAAGCAAGGTGATGCTTCTCATAGGTGGCAGAAGGTGAATGAGGAGCGTAATCCTCAAGTATATTCAAGACGACAACATCATGTTCAGGGGGAGCAGCCAACACAGATGCAGGGGGAGCAACAAGGCAGCAATGCAAGCTCAGTTGACACAGAGGACTTTCCAATTGCTTTGAGAAAAGGTACTCGAGAAAAAGCAGGGATACCCGGGCCAAAGTATGGGTTCGATGCCAATGATATTGGAAATTATGTTTCCTATGAAGCATTATCTCCATCCCACAAATCATTTCTTGCTTCTCTTCAGCTGGTGTCTCTTCCAACTGATTGGAAGGCAGCAAAAGTGGATCCAAAGTGGCGAGCAGCTATGATAGAGGAGCTGGAGGCATTAAGTAAGAACAAGACATGGGTACTAACACCTCTTCCAAGAGGAAAGAAGGCAGTTAGCTGCAAGTGGGTATACACCGTGAAGCAGAATGTAGAAGGGAAGATTGAAAGGTACAAAGCAAGGCTTGTGGCGAGGGGGTACAGACAGACCTACGGCATTGACTATGATGAGACCTTTGCTCCAGTAGCAAAGATGAACACTGTGAGGATTCTGATCTCATGTGCAGCAAATTTTGGGTGGCCTTTACACCAACTTGATGTGAAGAATGCCTTCTTGCATGGGGACTTGAAAGAGGAGGTATACATGGATATTCCACCTGGGTTCTCAACTTCTGAGACTGCTGGTAAGGTATGCAGGCTAAAGAAAGCTCTTTATGGACTAAAACAGTCTCCAAGAGCTTGGTTTGACAGATTTAGACGGGCTGTGCGTGGCATGGGGTATGGACAATGCAATGGTGACCATACATTGTTTTATAGACATTCTAAAGGAAAAATGACCATCTTTGCAGTTTATGTTGATGATATCATTATCACCGGCGATGATGACGTAGAGATAGCAAGGTTAAAGGGGTGTCTGAGTAAGGCATTCGAAGTTAAAGATCTTGGTCGACTCAAGTACTTCCTTGGTATAGAAGTGGCAAGGTCTGGAAAAGGAATAGCTCTTTCTCAAAGAAAGTATACCCTGGGTCTCCTCTGTAATGTTGGCATGTTGGGTTGTCGACCTGCTGCAACCCCAATTGATCAAAATCATAAAGTGACCGCCCAATCAGGTGATCTGGTGAATAAAGAAAAATATCAGTGATTGGTGGGAAGATTATTGTACTTGTGTCATACACGACCAGACATTGCATCCGCAGTAAGTGTTGTGAGCAGATATATGCATGAGCCTAGGAGTGAACATCTTGAGGCAGTATATAGAATCCTGAGATACTTGAAGGGTTCTCCTGGGAAAGGATTGATATACAAGAGTCATGGACATCTTGTCGTGGATGGTTATTGTGATGCTGATTGGGCCAGCTGTCTGGATGACAGGAGATCAACCTCAGGCCATTGTGTTTTCGTAGGAGGAAATCTAGTGTCTTGGAGAAGCAAGAAACAACCCGTTGTTTCCAAATCAACCGCAGAGGCTGAATACAGAGCCATGTCTCAGGGATTGAGTGAGTTGTTATGGACAAGAAATCTATTAGGAGAGTTGAAGATACTAAAGACTAGTTGTATGAATGTATGGTGCGACAACAAGTCAGCAATTTACATAGCAAACAACCCAGTTCAACATGATAGAACCAAACATGTGGAGATTGACAGATTCTTTATCAAAGAAAAACTGGATGCTGGGATTATCAAGATAGAGTATGTGAGTTCAGGACAACAAATTGCAAATTGCTTGACTAAAGGACTGGGAACTAGAGAATGCAGTTCAGCATGTGACAAGATGGGAATGATAGATATCTACCACCCATCTTGAGGGGGAGTGTTGACCGGTATGAGGGCCTGGCCCATCTTCACTGTTGGTATAGGGCCCAAGCCCATGTGTGTGACCTAGATGAGAGCAACCAGAGTTATATGCATGTGTGACACACGGGAGTAGATGTCAGCCGCCAGACACACCAAACCACATGTATGCGCGTATGCCTCTCTCGTTCTATAATATACATCCGTATGTAGTTTGTAGTGAAATCTCTAAAAAGACTTATATTTAGAAACGGGGGGAGTATGATGCATGAAGGAGGATTATCATTCAATTTATCCAAACATATTCATCGGTACATTACATACAGAAACTTATATCTAGATGCACAAGCCGAGGAAGCAGCACACATTCTATCTATCAAGATGCACAGGCCGAGGAAACAAAGTCGCATATATGCTGCATGAATGAGGATTATTATTCGACTTATCCAAACAGCTGTTCGCCTGTCACCACCTTCGAGTTTGCATCAGGCAGATGTTCATACAGGTGGGTTAACAGTTACCAGCTTGTCCAGACTTGAATCAAAGTAATCATATTCATCGCTGCTCCACATTTTATGTACAGAAACATATATCTTTGCTCCATCTTAAATCGTCGTGTAGCACCAAAGATAGACGATTGTGAATCTATCTAGAACAAAAAGAACGGAAGAGATATGCTATTCAGACCAAAAGTGCATGTCCACCGCGCGGGCTATCCAGCCTTCTCACTATAAGAGCACCCTTACATCATTCAGGCACCAAGCCTCCTTCTCCAGCAGACATAACAAAATGACGAAACGAAACAGCACAAGCATGAACTACCAAAAAGAACTCCACGCTGTCCAGCCAACCAATAAAACTATCTGAAATGACATTGAAGCTATCGACCTAACTTTGCTGAGTGAGATATCATCAAGCCTGTTGTCCTGGCGGCGCCACCAACGCCCTCAAGTCAGCTCTCAGATGCAGCACGCCATCGATGAAGAGGTTGTCGTTGGCAATGAATGTCGACCATGGAACCTCAAAAGGATCACTGCATCCGGGCATCCAATCACCGCCGAAGGTATACTTGTGCTCCCACCTGGTCATGAATTTTCCTGACGATCTTGTCCTTGCAGCGAACTCAAAGTCTACTGTCAAACATGTTGGCCCCTTTGTCATCTTAGCCGTTGCTATAAAGAGGCCAAACCTGTATGCCTTGCCCTGCTCATCCATTTCACAGTACGCCATGAGACGAAAATCCTGTCCAGCAAGATGGAACAAGTGCGTGGAAATGTGTCCTTCTGGGAAGAGTCGGGAGCACTCCCCACGCGTTAGATCCAAGTAAACAATGACCTGTGGGCAGGGCCGGCCGAATTCAACCACTTTGATTGGTTTACGCCAGTAAGTTCGCTGTGGGACTTGCCAACAGGTTGTTGTGCCTGCCTCAATAGTGCCTTGCTCATGTGCTGGGTAAGCTTTGTGCAAGAGTGCAGCAGTAATAAGCTTCTTTGTTTGCTCATTGTCCGTATCATCATCACTGCATGTGAGGACTTTATGGAGTTTTACTCCAAGTCATATGACTGAAGCGCACCAGCGGAAGTAAACGAGAACTCCATATCTTCTGCCCTTCCTCTGTTTCTGGGTATTGCTTGCATGCCCACTCAAGCAGAAAGCTATATACGGTATCTTCAGATCTTATCTGTAGGTCAGTACTAGAAAAGATGGCTTCAATACCAGCAAGAGGCATGTCCATCAATTCATCAGAGAACCTGGAACAGGCAAATCATGCCATGAGTAGACACTTCATGCATGATTTTGTGAAAAAAAATGTCGACACTTTTTTCTTTTTTGAGGAAGATGTCTAATGCTTTCTTGGAAAAGAAAAAAAGTAGCTGTGATCACTCACTTGGCGAAAACCTTGTATTTGCCGGCGAGGAATTCCTTGGCTGCATCTGTCAGATGCCGAATTTCAGCAGCCACTGAAGTGGAGCATGGGTAATCTAGGTAGAGCAACGCAGACTCTCTGGTCATAGGCAAGTTTGTGAGTAACTGGCTACAATGCCTCATGCAAGCAAGAACCTCAAATTTATCAGCGGCCATCAAGATGTCGAGCAGAAGATTGGGCTCAGTTGTTGTCAACTTTCCAGTGTACATAAAGCTCAAAATCTCCATCATGACAGTTTCCTCCGTTCCTAGTAGAATGAAACAATGAGGCATAAGGGTTTATGATAACAGTTCAATAATAAAGAACTAAATGGCAGATTCTTTGTGTGTGAATTACAACAGTAGACCTCCTTTATTGAGGAAAGCTATCCATGCAGATGCAGAAGATTAAACGTGGACAAAATACCTATTTGGTAGTTAAAGGCGATGGTGAAAACTGAAAAGAGACTTAACCATTTCATTATGAAAAAGAAAAAGGAAGGGCTGACAGAAACTCGGAGATGGAATCCATATAATACCATAAATAATCGATGTTTTATATTAAAAAACACACAGTGTGTACAGACTACAGAATAATAACAGTGTCACAACAGAAAACTAGGAAAGACTATAAAGGAAAGGATGTTATCAGTTTACCCGAATCAGCAATTCGGAGTGTTAGATGCCTCTGATCAGACTCTTTCATGCCATTTGAGAAAAGCTACGGTGAATAAAGCATATTAGGAAACATGAACTGACCATAAGAAATGAATCTCAAAAGGTTATGCGAATTACCTTAAGAAAGAATGGACTATTTGCAGCGAGAACCAACGAATTGATGTAAATGGTCTTCACTCGTAAAACTGGCACGGGCACAATGGTCCAAGAAGAGTCAATACTTTTTCTATCTGTTCATCACAGAAAGAATACAAAGATCATAGAGAAATAATGGGCAATCTGGGGGAAATACAGTAATAGGCATAAAACACAACCACTAGAGAGATTCTGCTGTTAAGATAATAGGAACACTCAGTTCTTCTATGTATGCATATTCGTTGATTCAACAATCAGAAATATGGTAAAATGATTAACAAAACATCATGAACATTCAAATTCATTTAGCTGCATCAAGAAATCTGAGCATGCTCGCTGCTTCCTGAGTAAAGTAATAGTAAATGTCATCCCAAGGACCCTATTAATATACCGTATAATACTACTCCCCCCGTTCCTAAATATTTGTCTTTCTAGACATTTCAAATGACTACCACATACGGATGTATATAGACATATTTTAGAATGTAGATTCACTCATTTTGCTCCGTATGTAGTCACGTGTTGAAATGTCTAGAAAGACAAATATTTAGGAACGGAGGGAGTATAATGGTGCCCAACTACAAAAGAACGGACAATAAAGTGTAATATTGTTATCTTGTTAATCAGTATTTTATACCACGCAAACGTCTAGTGGCAGAATCAAGTTGAAGCAACTAACAGGAACACGTGTTTAACTAAGAGTTGGTTGGTATCTTGGCATCATTGGCATGTAACTAGTATGTTGCACGTGTGGAGAAACACGCAACCTGAAAGAGCTACCCAGTTGATCATCAGACTGTATCAGTAGTAACAACTATACCAGTACATCACAGGTGTTGATACTACATTAAACTAAACGATGATCAAGCAGGCTAATATCTAGTAAATGTTTCAGTAAATAAGGCAGACTATTGGTCGATTTTAAATGAAGAGCAGGGAGCAAGGTTGTGAAGAGCTCTAGAGCAGGAACCCGCCCCTCCACACCTTCTCTCTAAATATATATGGCGTATCACAGTTGCTCGTAGAATCAAAATTTCTACAAAATGAGGGTTATAACCCAACCTCCTTATCTTCCAAATATACATCCATTATGTGAATAAAAGATTTGACAATAATATGTTCTTCCTGTTTGATTCGTCGGTACAAATTTTGTCAGGAAATTTCTTGTATGAATAATCTGGCATGTTAATGTAAGCTTACACAAACCAAATCCAGGGAACCGTAAATCTTCAAGCACATAAAGATTTTCTCTACAATCTAATTGAGCAATATATTTTCAGAAACAAACGCTTTGTGACAAACTTGACTAGGAATCACACCATGAAGATTACAAGGTAGCCAATTCACAAAAGGACAGCATTGTCAGCTTGAACAGTTCGATGTTGTTTGAACATCACCACTGCTAGCTCAACCAATATGTGACCAATAATTTGCTGCATTCTAGTTGGATGTATGGACGATTTACAATTTGTTGATTGCTTCATCTGAAAGGATTTTATTTGTTAGAAAACCTCCATAATCAGGCAATTCTTAAATTCACACAGCAACAGGTGAGGCAAGCTACGTGAAGTGAAGGAACAGCAGGAATCGCAAATAAGCCACAGATTTCACACGGATCCATATCTGAATCGCGGTAAACAGCAGAGAATCATACACATGAATCCGTCTAATTCCAAGGGCGTGGGAGGAGTGAGGCACTATACGGACCTGCTTCCTCCTTGTGGAGCTCGTCGCAGTGGAACGCCAAGTCGGGGAGGGATCCTCCGGCGACGCCGTCGCTGGCGACGACCTCCAGCCGCAGCACCCGGTCGGAGAAGCTCTCTGAATTGAACGCGAACTCGAAGCTGGGCAACCCGCCCGCGCGCGAGATGTCGAGGCCCATCCCCGCCTCCGCCGCCGCCCCCGCGGTGGCGGCACCATCGCCGCCGGCCATGCGCTCGCCGCCGCTAGAAAAGGTTGGAGGCGCGGGGCCGTGGCCGTGGCCGTAGCCCTAGCCGGATGCTTCTAGAAGGCGAGGTCGGTGGCACTCCTCCACTGTCGAACCTTTTCAATTTTTCGGAGAGAGGAGGGCAATGAGACTCTTCAGTCTTTGTTATAAACCAAAAAAGAATAAATAGCCAGCCGTTTGATTGCTTCTCCTTGCACGGCACGCCATGGACTAAATGGGCCCGGCATGCCAATATGTGGGCCGGGCCAGACTGGCACTCGTGCCGCGTTTTCTGGACTAGGCACGACCCATCGGACGAGACTTGCCTGCTACCTGCGCGTGTTTCCATCTGTGCTCCCGCATACGTGCTTGATTTGATTGAAACAAAATAAGACTTGGCCCCACCCTCTTAAAATTAGGGGAAAATGATTAAATTATATAAAGGAAAAAGGAAAAAGGACAGCCGTAGGATGAAGTGGAATTACGGATGCGAGCATGCACGTTTAACCTATCGTCGGATTTTTGTGTTGTTTTGGGTAATTGTCTTGCCATAAAAAAGAAAAAAAGAAATGGGTCCTTGTCCAAGCCTCCATTTTACCTAGGCCCTGCAAATTTTCTCAAAGCCCCTAGAAATAGGGGCTCTTCCCTCACCGTGAAAACCCATCTAGAGGTCGTGATGTGACAAAAGTGTTTGATGCGCGCCAACTCTATGTTGTTGTCACTGACCATCTACCTCTCTGTTGCCGTCGACCAGCATGCAACCCCACACGCCGACCTTCCCGCCTTTCTATTTTCATGTGCACACACCTCCCTTGGCCACCTTCACATAGCACCTCTGCGGTCATCTCCAATGGCGCCAATCGCCTTCACTGCCTGCCTCCCATCTTCTCGAGCTTCAACCTCAGCGGCAAAAGTATCAGGCAATATGGGGCGTCCCCGTGTTCCCATAATACGAGCTCCCGAGAGCCCTTGGATCTGGGATCCAACAGTCATAGGCCAAGCCCCAGAAGCTGAGCCCAAATATTGGATCCATGGAGATTTTTTTCTTTTGCAAAGTTACAGAGCTTAACCCAGTACCATAGGAGCTCAGATCCATGGCCATATCATGGGGCATGGGACGCCCCTTAATCACTTGATATGTACCCCCACATGAGCAGCCACCGCGACAAGGATGGACATCATGCATCCATGCCCTGCATCTCGATTTGTCGCTAACATCCTCCATCCTGATCCCGTGTACTCCAACCCGCACCGACCACGCGCAAAGGCACCCAACATGCTCCACCGACAACGTGGATACATCACCAATTATGAGCTCTCTAGCGGCAAAGCGACCATAGCACTCCACGTACATGGCGCTAGGAGTGCATTGACCCACTGTGACAACGGTGGGCGGCAAGAGCTCGAAGGGCGGGGTGGAGAATGGAAAAGAGAGAACACGAAAATAGAAAAAGATAAAGATATTGTAAGTTATAAAAATCAGGGCGAGAACTGGGGGCTAGTGTTGGAGTTGGGGACATTTTCTGGCTGAGAAAATGGAGACTAGCCTATGTTAGCCTTTATGGGTAATTATTGGAGATGCTCTAATATGGCACCACATATGAGACCTTCTATTCCCCGCATTACGTGGCGCTCAATGAGTAAACACGCACCCTCCTCCCCTGTGTGGTTTGGGCCGACCCAAATGTTCACGAAATTTGAAATTTGTTTCCAAATTTTGAAAATTGTTCATGAATTTTAAAAAATGTTCCCGGATTTAAAAAAAGTTCACGAAATAAAAAAAATGTTGCAAATTTAAAGAAAATGTTCATGAATTTGTTCTCCACTTGAAGCAACGCCCTCGCGTCATCAGGCCAACTGAATGTCCAATTAAAGTAGAGCCCCCGCGTCAGGGGGTACGCGTTACCTCCCTATTACCCCGACCCATGCCGCGCTAAATAGGATCCGCTCCACCATACATGGGCGGAGGAAGGGGGTGCCCAACCAGGCAGACCCAAAGAATCTGAATTGCTTGTTGAAAGTAGGTGAACAGTATTTTTAATCTAGATAAGAAGTTCATCTCCAGATAAATAGATGGCAGCGCGCTAGATTTGGTGCACCGCTTCGAGCGCACCTATAAATTGCCGCGCTCGCCACACGGCCTCCACACTGCCATGCATACTCTCCTCGCTACTCTGCCGCCGCTTGCTCGCCTCTTCGTCGCCCCCACCATCACGCGCCGCCGTGGATCGTCTGGCTACCGCGGCGTCCGCGAGCGCCCCGACGGCACCTACTACGCCGAGATCCGGTCTGGCGACGTCCGGCTCGGCCTCGGCACGTTCCGGACCGCGCACGAGGCCGCCCGCGCGTACGACGCGGCGGCGTGGCGCCTAGAGAGGCCGCCGGCGCAGATGAACTTCCACGATATCCTCACGCGCGAGCAGGGGCAGGACGTCGCCCCTCCGCCTCGTCTTATCACGGACCAGGACCGTGCGGAGCACCGTCGGCGGCAGCGCCGCCTCCTCGTCGCTGAGGAGGATGAGCGAGCCATGGCGGAGTGGAGCCGGCACCACCCGGAGGACGTCGCGGCGGAGCACGCCTTCTGGGCGGAAAGGACGGCAAAGCGCCGCGTGGAACGGTTGGAGAGGCGTCGGAAGAAGGCCCTGACGATATCGTAGTGCGATATCGTTGAGGCAGGTGGGGTGTCGATCTTTGAGGATAATGATCCTCGTTGGGAGGACATGTGGATCGATACCTCGGACAACACCAGTCCGGATGAGGACGAGGACGACTCGGAGTAGGGTGTAGTCGCACCATAGTTTATGTAGTTGCACCGTAGTATGTAGTTGCACTGTAGTTTTATCTATCTATATTATCGATCTATGCTATGAACTATAAAAATATCTATGTATCATTTTTATTATCTATGAAATATGTATCGTTTTAGCGCGATATGTATGCAATGTTTCGTGCGATAGTGCGCGCTGCATTTCAGCGCCCCTGCTAGAGCTACGCGCGCGCGCTAAATTTTAGCGCGGCTGCTGGAGCCAGCACTGCCAGCCGCGCTTTTTCAGGCGATGGGCGCGCTGCAAAGTACTTTTTAGCGCGCCGCGCGTTCTACAGCTGTTGAAGATGCTCTCACACATGTTTCCTTTCATTTAAATGCACATGCAAATCATCCACATCATCAGACGCGTGCAAACAATTAACGCTTCACATCATCAAGCGCCACACAACCATTCAACTTTTCAGTTTTTAGTACTTTCCACCACATGCAAGGCCTCGACATTATCAAGCACGTGAAAGCCCTTCCCTTAACATGGTCAAGTAACCCCGACCTAACACAAGCGGTCAGGTAACCCAGAAGCCCAGGTGATGAACACATCATGTTCAGACACCGTAATGCCCCAATTTCGGGGGAAGACATGTAAAACGGAATAGCCCTACCGTCCATATTAAGGCATGAAACTAGTCAGTATCTTTCTTAACAAAAATGTCGAAAGATAGATCGAAGGGTCTACCACCCCGGTATCGAACTTGCATTGTATAAGAGGCTACAAAGTGCTTCCAGCAGACACAAAAATAGCAAAATTAGACACAGAGTACGGCCAGAATCCCTTTGAAGCGACTGATGACGAACACATGAGTACACGACCCAACTCTGCTGAGTTTGAAATCATATCAAGCATGTAACTGCCGCTGCTGGACCGCCGCCAAATCAGCTCTCAGATGCAGCACACCATCGATGAAGAGGTTGTCATCGGCAATGAACGTTGACCATGGAACGCCAAAAAGATCATCGCATTGTTCCAACAAATGACGGGTGAAGGTGCCCTTACACCTGTACTTGCTCTCAAATTTTCCCGACGATCTTATCCTTGCAGCAAATTCAATATCTACTGTCAAATCTGTTGAACCCAATCCCATTAAGCAGAGGCCAAAGGTGCACACCTTACTCTGCTCATCCATTGTACAGACTGGGTTGAGTTGCATGTTCCCATCCCACCCTGCAAGCTGGAAGCCACGCGACCGTACAGCTCCAGACAGGAAGAGTCGGGAGCACTCCTCGCGTGTTAGATCCAGGTAAACAATAACCTGTGGGCAGGGTCGATCAAAAGCAACCAATTTCACAGGTTTGAACTTGTAAGCTCGTTCAGTAAATTGCCAACAGGTTGTTATGTCTGCTGCAAGAGCACCTTCCATCTGTTTTGGGCCAGCCTTTTGTAGAAGTGCCTTGGCAATACGCTTAGCTACTTGCTCATGGTCTATATCATCATCAGTGCATGTTAGGATATCCTCAAGTGACGGACGTGTCATATAACTGAAGCGGACCAGCGGAAGTAAACGACAACTCAAGATCATAAATTTATATATGCAATCTTCAGATGCTACTTGTAGGTCGGTACTTGACAAGATGGCTTCAATCCCAGCAAGAGGGAAGTTCATCAATTCACGTCTGAACCTGAAATGAGACAAACCATGTCATAAGTACACCAAATGCATGATTTTGTGACATCAATGTCTACAGTTTTCTTTAAAAAGGGAAAAAACATGGCTCCATTAATTGGGCATCACTAACTTATGAAAATTCTTGTACTTGTTGGCAAGGAATTCCTTGGCAACATCAATCACATGCTGGACCTCAGCAACCATTAAAGTCGAGCAAGGGTGGTCTATGTAGAGTAGTGCAGATTCTGTGGTCATAGGCAAGCTTGTGAGCAGCTGACTGCAACGCCTCATGCAAGAGATAACCTCAAACTTGTCTGCAGCCATCAAGATGTCGAGCACAAGAGTGGGCTCAGTTATTGTCAACTTCCCACTGTACATATAGCTTAAAAGTTCCATAAGGGCAATTTCCTCTGTTCCAAGTAGAATGAAAACAGAAAAACCATAAGAGAATAGTTCAATACAGAGGTAAACAAAAAAGGACAATCTTTTTGTACCCAAAATGATTGTTTAAGTTGACTATTGACTTACAGTATTGAAAAAAGCTCCATGTAAGATTACCCTTTTCCTATCACGGAAAA